CTCTGTGCGTGACAGGGGGGAGCTCCCCAACCCCCTGATGGGCCCTGCTCTGTGCGTGACAGGGGGTGGCGCCGCAACCTCCCCATCGACCCTGCCTTGAGTGTGACAGGGGGCGGTGCCCCAACCCCCCAATCGGCCATACCCTGAGCGTGAATAGGGGTGGCATTGCAACCTCCCGATCCACCCTGCGCTGTGCATGACAGGGGGCGGCGCCCCAACTCCCCAATCGGCCCTGTTCTGAGCCCGACCAGGGGCTGCACCCAGGGATTGGGCGTGCCCTCTGCCACCCGGGAGCAGGCCTAAGCCAGCAGGTCATTATCTCCTGAGGGGTCCCAGACTACGAGAGGGCACAGGCCAGGCCGAGGGCCCCCCTCTCCCCCCCGAGTGCACAAATTTTTGTGCACCGGGCCTCTAATGAGATATAAAATCCATGAGAAATGTTAATATATTACAGCCAACATATGGGTACATTCCATAACTATAATCTTAGTTAAGGGTAAGAATAATAAAGGGAATTTGAAAGATATTAAGTCGTTATTCTTATTAAATTCAGAGTTAAATACAACTTCATGGTTGACCTGACCCAGGTCTAGTTCAGGGGTTTTTAAACATCTTTGACTACAACTTATTTCTTACGAAAAGCACTTTACATGTATGTAAAGCACTTTACACTATATAAAATATACCACGGATGTAGGTGTGTATTATTTTGCTACAGCTGCATAATAAAATACAACAGAGTGGTGGCTTAAACATCATAAATGTGTGTTTATTCACAGTTCTGAAGGTTGAAATTTCAAGATTAAGGTGTCAACAGGTTTGGTTTCTTCTAAGGCCTTTGTCCTAGGCTTGCAGGTGGCCATCTTCTCCTGTCCTTTATGGCCTTTCTCCTGTGCACCCCATTTGTCTCTTTCTCTTATAAGGACACTGGCCCTATTGAATTAGGAATTCACCCTTATGACCTTTTTTAACCCTAATTATCTCTATAAAGGCCCTATATCCAAATAAATTCTGAATAAATGATGATCTTGAATGTAATTTCAGCCTTTATTCAGGGCCCTCTACACCAAATACTCTAATAATATTGGGCCCTGAATAGGATGACATCAGATTCCCCTAATTCATCCTCAGACAAATTAGTAAGTATTCAGATGTTTGTTTGTTTTTTTGAGGGGGTGGAATCCTCTGGTCTCCACTTTCTAAAACTAATGATGACACAGGACAATACTAAAACCCAGTGATACCGAAGAGAAACAATTATTCATATATAAGACCAGCCAGTCTCCAGTATAAAAGAAACATGGTGGACAAATTTCTTAAAGTATATTTTTATTGATTTCAGAGAGGAAGGGAGAGAGAGAGAGATGGGTAGAAACATCAAGATTTATTGATTTCAGAGAAGAAGGGAGAGAGAGAGAGATGGGTAGAAACATCAAGGATGAGAGAATCATTGATTGGTTGCCTCCTGCATGCCCCCTACTGGGGATGGAGCCCACAACTGGGGCATGTGCCCTTGACCAGAATCAAACCCGGGACCTACCAATCCACAGGCTAACGTTCTATCCACTAAGCAAAAATGGCTAGGGCGACAAAATTTTTAATTTTCTCCATGGCCTGAAGGGTATTTTACAGTGGAAAAACAGTTGGGATGAAAATATTAAAATTAAAAACAAAACAAACTTAAACGGAATAGTTGATAAATTTGTGATATAAAAACAAAAATTACCATGTGGTTTTTTAAAAATGTTAGATAAGATAGAATATTGCCTGACCCACGGGACACTATTTCATAACTTTGTAGGAAGAATTACAGTGGAAAAGAACTTTCAATGAATGGTCTTTCACTCCACCAAAATATCAGGTGCATTCATGGAGCACTGGAATGTGTGCTTTTAATACCCTGCCCTGGTCCCCTTTCAGTGTTGGCTGCTAATAGTTCATGGCAGCACCCTTCTCTAGAGAATTTGCTCAGCAGGTGGAAGCCACCTTGCTGGAGAGTTTATGCCTCCCTCCTCTCTGCTCCCTCCCGCACCCCCAGCCAGAGCAGTGTGCAGCCAGCCTCACAGGGATACACAAGACTGCCCCTGCCACAAAACTGGATGGCCACTGGAGTCCCTGCTCTAGAGTTCTCCACGGCCTCAGGTGGGAGACAGACTCCTGCTGAGACCGCATCCTCCCTGAACTACTTCCCCTGCCCTGTCTTGGTCCCCCATTGCTTCCTCAATAAAACACATGCACCTGAATTCCTTACACCTACACCTGAAATGTAGGCTCTGAGGCTTGGGAAGCCCACATAGCACAAAGGTGAGGCAGCCCTGTTCATCTGTGGAAATGTTACACTCTTGTAGACATAGTGAGGACCACGGAGGCCACCTTTCATAGAAAAACATCCTACCTGGGTTTCCTCATAGTCTCTTGATTGTAGTACAATTTGGTGGTTGGAAGCTGCTGTCCTACGCATCTCATTTCTGCCTTTGGTCTCATAGGTTCATTGCTATTCCTATAAATTGTTGACAAACAAGCATTCTCTCTCCTCAACAATCTGCCTCTCAACTACTCCCTGCTTTCTTTACATCCAAAGAGTGCTTCAACTGCCCCTATAGTCCTCTATTTCAGGCCTTGAGTTCTTTGTGAGAATAACTCTTTAGAGAGAAAATGAAGATTCTGAAACGGGTATGGAGAAACATATAAATGTCCTACTCCTAGACATCCATGCCTGGGTAGGAGATTCATGGCACAGAGCTCCAAATTCTAGCTTGATCAAGGTTCCCTCCCTCCCAAACCTGATACAAGAAACTAAATGTTAGCATAGTTCTAGACTCTCTTAATATGTCCCAGCAGCAGTTCTGGTAGCTGGCTTTTCCTCTCAGATAAACATAAGTGTGTGTGTGTATGTGTGTGTGTGTGAAATTTCTTGGTATATATATCAAAACATATATGTACATACATACACACATATGTATATACACTGAGTGGCCAGATTATTATGACCACCTGACGTTTGTAGGCAAATTAGCTATAATTTTGCACTGAAGTTGCTAGAGGGCCAGACCATTATAAATAGGGAAGCAGGTTGTTTACCATGACAGTAGAAGTGATTTTTTTTCTGAAGATATGGGTAAACAAC